AATGTAGCAAGCTATTACTCCAAACTTAAGCGACTGTGGGATGAGTTGCAGGTTCTTGATCCAACAGAAAAATGTACATGTGGAGGATGTACTTGTGGTGGATGCAAATGTGATTTCAGGAAGACAAATGTCAAAGATGGAAAGAACAGACTATATCAATTTTTAACAGGCTTGAGTGACTCATATAATGATGTCAGGAATCATGTGCTGATGATGGAACCCCTACCTGATGTGAAGAAAGCCTATAGCATGGTTCTGACAGTTGAAGAACAGACTAGAGTCAACATTCAGTACAACAATTCAGGAAATTATGATCAGAGTGCTATGTATTCTTCACAAATTAAGAATCAATATCATAACATTCAATCAGGAGGTGAACAAGTTGCAATGTTCTCTCACAAAGGAAGGTTCAACAATAACAAAGTAGGAAAAGAGAATGATTGGAGAAAGGAGAAGGCTAAGAAGAAATTTTTAAAGTGAGATCACTGTAAGATGACAGGACATATCAAGGATTCATGCTTCAAGATAATTGGTTATCCAGAATGGTGGAATGATAATCACAAAGAAGGGAAGCAATTTCAACCAACTCAGAAGGTTACAGGAGGTCACTCTGCACATATGGTTGAAGTCATTCCTGAAGTTAAGAATGAGAAAGTCACCAATACAGGGAATTCAGATATCCAAACCATGATGAACAACTTGAATTTGTTTCAGCAGGAGATGGCAAAGTTGATCAGAGGAAAGTAGACAGCTGGTGATTTTGAACATGTCAATTTTGCTCATTACCATGATTTTGCAGGTATGAGCACTTTTGATACTATGAACAAGATGACAGATAATGATTTGATGATGTTAGCTTTATGGTCCATATATACTGGTGCTACTGGACATATGAGTGCATTGTCGAAACTGTTTTTAAAGTATAAACCTGTTGATCAATACACACCTATTTGTTTGCCTGATGGAACCATCAACACAGTTGATCATATAGGCAGCATAAAATTGTCAGACAACCTTATAGTTTCAGATTGCTTCCATATATCCTCTTTAAAATATAACCTATTGTCAGTTAGCAAATTAGCTTCTTCATCCAAAATAGATTGCTTGTTCTCAACAAACTTTTGTTTGTTGCAGGACCAAGTGACTTGAACCATTGTGGCAGTTGGAAGACTAATGAACAAGCTCTATGTTTTGGATCACAAATCATTTGCCAAGGAAACCATTTTGCAGTTCATAGGTACTCATGTGAATCATCCATTTGTGATGTATGCTAGTTCTAAGAAATTTCATTTGGCCAGTGATGCAAATTGCAAGACCTGGCATCATAGATTAGGCCATATTCCATATAGTATATTGCATCATCTAGGCATTTGTAATAAAGATGATGTAAATATTTCCAGTACTTGTGAAATTTGTCCAATGTCTAAACAACAAAGATTAAAGTTTCCAGTTAGTACTATACAGTCAAACTCAAATTTTGTATTGATTCATGTGGACATTTGGGGACCACGTTCTCAGAAATCCTTATCTGGTGCACAATATTTTCTCACTGTTGTAGATAATTATAGCAGGTCTACTTGGACATTTCTCATGCATCATAAGTCTCAAAGTGTAGCCATACTCAGTAATTTTCTGAAAATGGTTAATACTCAGTTTGATACCAAAGTCAAGATAGTCAAGAGCGACAATGGGTCAGAATTCTCAAGTCATCAATGTCAAGATCTCTTTACAGATTTTGGCATCTTACACCACAAATCCTGTCCTTATACACCTCAACCGAATGGGGTAGTAGAAAGAAAGCACTAACATTTACTTCAAATAGCCAGGTCATTACTATTTCAATCTGGATTATCTAGAATATTTTGGGGAGATGCAGTTTTAACATCCACTTATCTGAAAAACAGACTTCCTTCATCAATACTTGGCTTCAAATCTCCCTATGAGATTCTTTTTTACAGACAACCAGATATTTCTCACCTTAGAGCGTTTGGTAGTTTGTGTTATGCTACAAACACTCTTCCACATAAAGGAAAATTTGATTCCAGAGTTATAAGGTCAGTGTTTATAGGTTATCCACCTGGTCAAAAAGCCTATAAACTTTTTGATCTTACAAATCAGAAAGTATTCATTTCCAGAGATGTAGTCTTTCATGAAACTACATTTCCTTATCTTAAACCACAGATTTGAACCAATCCTTTACCATCCAATTCTCAACATTTTCCAGATTATCTAGATCAATGGGATGTAACTGATGCACCCATTCCAGTTTTCTTTCCTTCTGATAATCATCATCCTCTTGATGATGATCGCCACAATTATCAATCTCCTACACATAATGATGATCCAGAAATTAGTCCATCACAATCTCCCACTCTGACACAGTCTAATCCCAGTCCAACTTCCTCTTCTTCTTCTTCTTCACCAATCAATAATACTTATATTCCTTCATCTTCAGTATTGAGAAAGAGTAATAGAACTATACATAAACCAATATGGATGAATAATTATGTGACTGAAAATGCATGGCTTATTCATGAAAATAGTTTACAACTGCCTCATCCCATTTCTTCACCTCACACACCATATACTTTTCCATACTATGATGCACCTCATTTTACCAGCACTCATCTGTCCTTTATGGTAGCACTAGATACTGTCCAGGAACCTAGTTCATATTTACAGGCAATCCAAGATGAGAGATGGGTGACAGCCATGCAATTGGAAATTCAAGCTTTGGAAGCTAATGATACATGGGAATTAACAGCTTTACCCAAGGGAAAAAGAGCAATTGGCTGCAAGTGGGTTTATAAGGTCAAGCTGCATTCATATGGCACAGTGGAGAGGTTTAAAGCAAGGTTGGTGGCTAAAGGATTTAATCAGGTTGAGGGTCAAGACTATTATGATAGCTATTCTCCAGTTGCCAGGATAGTTACAGTCATGTTACTTCTTGCAATTGCAGCCAGCAAGAGGTGGTCTATCCAGCAATTAGACATTAATAATGCCTTCTTGCATGGTTCCTTGGATGAGGAGGTTTATATGATCCCACCAGAAGGCTATGATAAAGTCAAATCAGGACAAGTCTGCAAGCTAAATAGGTCATTGTATGGATTGAAACAAGCCTCTAGACACTAGAACAAGGAGTTCTGCAAGAAGATTAAGGATTATGGTTTTTCTCAATCAGCACATGATCCTTGTTTATTCATCAAGCAAACAGAAGGGATTTTCTTGGCATTACTGGTTTATGTAGATGACATCTTAATTACAGGAGAAGATGAAGATTCTATTCAACAGGTGAAACATTTTTTGGATGAACAGTTCACTATCAAGGATCTTGGACAGGCAAAATATTTCCTTGGCATTGAACTCACTAGATCATAACAAGGTTTGTTGTTGAATCACAGAAAGTATGTTCTGGATATATTAAAATTAGCTGGACTCATTGGTTGCAAACCTACAACTACCCCTCTTCCCAAAGGTCATCAATTCTCAGATGAACCAGGAGCTTCCTTGTCCAATCCTTCCAGCCACAGAAGAATTGTTGGCCAGTTGCTGTATTTGTCATTCACCAGACCAGATATTACCTTTGCATTCCAGCAGCTCAGCAAACACATTCAACATCCTTGTCAAGATGATTGGGATTCTCTGATCCATGTATTGAAGTATTTGAAAGGGACACCAGCTCATGGATTGTTTTACCCTTCTGACAATGATCTCAAGTTTGAAGCCTTTAGTGATGCTGACTGGGGTTCAGACATTATCAACAGGAGATCAGTAAGTGGTTTCTGCATTTTCATTGGCCGTTCTCTGATTTCTTGGAAAATCAAACAACAGGATACTATTTCCTGTTCTTCAGCAGAAGCTGAATACCGGTCACTTAGGGTTACCACCAGGGAGCTTCTATGTTTATCATATCTTCTGCATGACTTCTCTATTCCATCCCAGCTTCCAATCTCCTTGTGGTGTGACAATAAGGCTGCCATATATTTCACTGAGAATCCGGTATTCCATGAGAGGACTAAACATTTGGAGATTGATTGTCATTTTGTATGGCATCAATATGAACTAGGCTTTGTTGTTCCCCTGTATGTAGCCTCCCTTGATCAAACTGCTGACATCTTCACCAAATCTCTGCCTCATCCTCTCTTTTCCAAACTGCTATCCAAGCTTGGCGTGAAGACGTGCCTTCCCAGTCCAGCTTGTGGAGGGGATGTCAAAGATGATAAATATCCCCCTTGATCCTCCTTGAAGATGATGATCGGATCAAGCAGGATATGATCATAACTTGCAGTTTTTTTGTTATGTAGTTTACTATTTTACCCCTGAGCTTTGTATAGGTAGTAATTTAAGTAGAGGGATGATTGGTCTTTGTACATATATCGGTTAGTTTAGACATATTAAATAGGCTGATGATTGGTTAGCTTTTGTATTAGTGTATATATACGGTTTTGCTGTACAAAGTTGGTAATGAAAGACAACTAAAATTCCCAAATTCCATTTCTAGAATTTCTCTCCGATGAACCTATCTTCCAATTTGAGAATTTCGGACATTCTTTTGAAATTAGTTTGAGACAAGTCGGATTTCACTTGTAAATACAATTTTTGCTCAAAAAATTTTGATTCTTTATACCCATCAATTTTAAAACTTTATCAAGTTGGTTTACCCGCAAAAAACACTCATCCTTTTACTTCTCTTTTTTTCTTTTTTTTTTTGGTTTCTACTTTCTATATAACTTCATGGTCGCAATATTAGGAGTAAATTGGATTGGGTATTTAAGTCATAGTATTATTAGTAAGTCGGTTGAGCAGTTATAAACCGATTTGGAGTAGGATTATGAAACTTAATATTTGGCCTATAAGTAGAGTACGATTTCAAACATGATTTCATCAATAAATCAATTATTATTCTTAAAGTACTTAGAACCCTTCTGCTCGGATTTCGTCCATAGTGAACCAAGTTGATCGGTTACCGGGCATCCTTGGTGACCAGATTGAAACGTTAAATGGGGGATTTCAGATTGGGGAAGTGTGCATCTAATAAGCTGCAAAAAACGCTTGAAGACAGGATTAGTCTACTTCCAGAGGAGATTCTTACTCGCATCGTATCGTTTCTCACACTCAAAGAAGCTGGCAGAACAAGCGTGGTGTCAAAAGCCTTGAAGAACGCCTGGACTTATGTTCCTGAGCTGGATTTTAATGGATTGGCCGCATTACGCGAGATGGGCGACAACAATTACAGGAAGGGACTCGAAATTGAAAGGCCCAAGTTTGTTAAATGGGTAAACAAGGTGCTAGATTCCCATCACAAGCCCTCGGAGTTGAATTCCTTCCGTATTTGTATTGATCTAAACTATTCCTTTCAAGATGATTTGGATAAGTGGGTTTAGTATGCCTTTGATAGCAGAGTCCAAAGCCTGGAATTGAACCTGACCCGTCATGGCTCTGATGGATTCTCTGACGATTATGCTCTTTCTTCTGAGTTTTTTGTTGCACACGCAAGTTGTTGGGGTTCTCTTAAAGTACTGATTTTGAAGACCGTCAAAATCTCCGGGGCCAATCTTGAATACCTCTTGCACAACTGTACATCTCTTGAAACTTTGGTTGTGCACGGCTCTGACGATCTGACTAGTTTGGAAGTTCGCGGTCCACCATCTCTTGCACTACAACACTTGGAAATTCTCCACTGTAGCCTTAAATCCCTGATTGTGTGCAATGCTGCTAATCTCGCGTCGCTTAAGATTGATGACCCGGATAAAGCAGTGCTAAAGAATGTTTCGGGGCTCGTCCATCTTGGATTTTTCGGTTGTCCTTATGGTGTTAAGGATGTTTTTCAGAAGCGGTTTTCATGCTGCTTTTCAAAACTGAAGGTTCTTTCCTTATTTTTGGCTCCTCGTAGAGCTCAAGAGTTTGAAGAAAGCCTTCCTCAGCTGCCTTCACTGAAGCAATTGTCTGTAATACTTGGTCTATGGTACGAGGAGAGCATGCCTGAACTTACTTTCTTCTTTGAGGCAGCTCCAAACCTCGTAAAGTTTGTAATAAAGTTGGATTACCCCTTCAAAAAAATGACTGGGAGCACCATTGAACGGCAGTCAGAGAATAGTGTTGTTGTAAATCGCGGCGCCGTCCAACATCTTAAAGTGGTTGAGATACATGGGTATCGCGGCCGTATTGAACTCGGCCTTGCCAAGTACTTGCTCAAAAAAGCAGTTTCTCTCGAGAAATTTATTGTTGATCCGCGTTATCAGTACACGATTCGTGAAGGAGAACCTTGGTATGAAGGGATAAATGTACGTGGTCGACAAGAAGCGATAGCAGATGATGGGAGACGGTGTGCTACGGATCAACTCTCGGGATTGATACCTTCACATGTAACCTTACAGATTCTCTAGCTTGGAACCAAGCCAAGCCCTTCTGGTAATAGAATGTACCAATATTATTAGTATTAGGGGAGCTTTGTGTGGTTGTAATGTTAGTGTTTTTTAACCTCCTAATCCTCCTCCTTGAGGAGTTAAGCGTGTATCAAATTGGATTATGTTGACTTTATCCATATGTATTAGTTAATGTATCACTTCTTTCCCCCCCGGTGATTTTTGTATTAGTTGAGCCTTGAGGCAGTATCAAATGCCTTTTAGATGTTAAGAGGGAAGAAGATTGATTCATATTGAAGCTTTGGACAAGTTCGCCAAGTATGAGGGCATGCTTGTGTTGATTTGATTTGATTATCCCTTGTGTCAAAGACATGAGATGCAATACTATATCATGTGTGTCGTGAATTCGGTGCAAGGGACCAAGTTCCTGTAATGCAGATTGGTGATAAAAATATATTATAGTATCAGTTAGTCGAATTAAAAATCCATTGAACACACAATTACCCAAGAAAGACTGAATAATTAGAACATATGCTCAAAGTACCTTAGCAGTCACAGTCATAGATTCCAACTCGGGATCATCCTTGAAATGACTAGAAACAGAGGAGATAAAGAGTCATCAATGGTGTTTTCATACCCCTCATGAGTTCTTGAAGATTAACGCCAACAGAGGTAAATACCAGTACTAATCTTTAAAATCTTTCTGGATTGGCCATGATCATGAGTTGTTCTTGAAAGTTGCTGCTTTGATCTCTGGCATGAATCTAATTCTCTGTCTCGAGGAAGCCGAAGAATAATTGGTTTCCATTTTCTCCAAGGTAACCAAACGGTTCAAAACAGAAATTCAAAGTAATGATTAGTTTTTAATCTTATGTGGAGAAAGCCTTGATTTCCTTCGTTTCTACAACAAATGATCTGGATCAGTACGGCAAGTTGGCAACAACCAGCATACATACAATTTCTTTTTCTTTTTCTTTTCTTTTGGTTTCGTTTGTTTGTTTTTTTCTGTCCAGATCTCTTTTGCAGCTGTCCACACTCCAGTCTGCTAGCTTTTTTCTCCAACAAATGCTGTTGTGTTGTTGCCGCCCAAATCTTTGGACTACTATTTGGTCCTTCATCTTACGAAAGTTTGATACTTTGTGCCCAACAATTATAAAACCTTATCACAAATGCTTTACTTGCAACATAACATTCATACTCATTATTCTTACTTCTATAATTCTGTCCAAAGAACAGTGCACGTCCATTTTTCAAATACTTCCCTCCAATCCTTATTATTATAGGGATTTTAATATGTCATAAATTTCATCTAATATGTTTTTATAGTAAGGACCGAAAAGAGTATGTACCATTTATTTGGAAAATAAGAATAATTGTCTCAACCTTTTTCCTAACGGATGTGTATTACAATTCCTCGAGAGCTAAAATTATTATTAAAGATAGTTGAATTTTTTATTTTATTTTTTATAAATGTATTACAATTCTTCAAACAAATCCAAAATTTAGACGGTAAACCTTGGTTACTATACAAATCGCCCATTTGAATTTACGATCGTTCACCAACCATTGAAGAGATATAATAAAAGATATCTTATATGATTCAACGTAGTACAATATTATGTGTCTGTGAGTACGAACTACGAAGTATCGGACTAGATCGTGTTCCAGCAAAAAAATACTTGCGGTTTTTTTTTTTTTTTTTCCCTGACCTAATATCTGTCTGCTGGCTTTTCCAAACGGATGCTGTTTGCGGCCCCTTTTCTTTGTTGCAATAGGATTACATTCAATCCTCATACATGAACCCGTCCATAAATTTCTTTAGTTTCGCTCCCAATAGACTCCATTTATTTTCTTTTTAAATTTGTTTCTTCTGTCTGCAAATTTTCATGACCCAATATATTTACCCAATATATTTACCCAAAATATTTATTGGGAGGGAAATCGGATAATAAATAGGGCAATCCTTTTTCCGGTTAAGTCGTTTCTGCCTATCAAAATAACAGCAGATCTAATCGAATCCCAATCACAGTTGGAGCTACCCCCGAACGAAAGTCACAGTGAACCAAGTCGATTGTCGGCCATCCTCGGTGATCGAATTTGAACGCTATGGGGAATTTCAGACCGTCAAAGGTACGGTTGCTCGATTTGTTGCTTTAGTCGTGATGGGTGTTTGTTAATTTCTGATGATTTTGTCTATTTTGACTTTGTTGGATGTCTTCCTCGTTTTTACCTTTTTTTTTTTTCCTCTACTGAGTGTGGAACGTTGTTACCAATCTCGTTGAATGAATGAAGATACTTGTCCGATTTCTGCCATGAAATTTCGTTCATTTGTATTTTGTTTTCTATTGATCTTCGTTCCAAGTTTGGGTCTTTGATGAATTTGTTGGACGGCTCTTTTTTGCCCCATGACACCATTAATCATACAGGTTTGTTCTTCATTTAGTTTAGCTGCTTTAGCAATTAGCATACTGTTCCTAGCATTTTACAGCCCATATGTACACCTCCCATAATTCAGCTTCTTTTGGGGCCATAGCCATTGTCCACCGAAAATCCATCGACCTTCCTCCTTCCTGGTTGATCAATAATCCGCCTGCAGTGCCATGTTTGAGTGTGTGCTTTGAAGATCCATCAGTATTGAGGACTTTTGTACCAAACTCCTTTCTTAGCTCAAATAATTTGTTTTTATGATGCCTTACTTGCATGAGATGCGTCAATTTTTCTTGTATTTCTTCTGCTAAAAATTTATTGCCTTTGAATTGTGCTAATATCGTCATAAAGTCTCTTTCTTTTTAATTTAATTAAAAGCATTGCATCTTGTTGCCCTATGTTTCACTTGTTTGAGATTCTTTCAAATCCTTCTACACGGTAGATCGACTGCTTACCTGACAACTTATTGTAAATTTCCTGATTTTTCTTTTCTTGCCAAGTTATCTGTGGTTATGGTAGCTCTTTCTTTCCAATACCTCTCTTTCATTATCTTCGCTTTCATTATCCAAAGTGTTATGATTAATGCTTGTGGTCATTCTAACAGTGTGCATATAAGCGGAAAACACCTGAAGACCAGATTAGTCTACTTCCAGATGAAATCCTTGCTCGTATCTTATCATTTCTAGCGCTCAAAGAAGCTGGTAGAACAAGCGTTTTGTCTAAAAGATGGGAACATGCATGGACATATGTTTCTGAGCTCAATTTTGATGCATTGAATACAATACGCGAGATGGCAGCAAGGGGTGAGGGTTACAGGAGGGGACTTGAAATCGAAAGGTCTAAGTTTGTTAACTGGGTAAACAAGGTGCTAGATTCCCATCAAACCTTGGAGTTGATTTCTTTCCGTATTTATATTGATATGAATGATTCCTTTCGGGAGGATTTGGATAAGTGGCTTCACTATGCCTTGGATAGGAGAGTCCAAAGGCTGGAAGTGAACCTGACCCGGCATGGCTCTGATGGATTCTCTGACGATTATGCTCTTTCTTCTGAGTTTTTTGTTGCACACGCAAGTTGTTGGAGTTCTCTTAAAGTACTGATTTTGAAGAGCGTCAAAATCTCCGGGGCCAATGTTGAATACCTCTTGCACAACTGTACATCTCTTGAAACTTTGGTTGTGCACGGCTCTGACGATCTGACTAGTTTGGAAGTTCGCGGTCCACCATCTCTTGCATTGCAACACTTGGAAATTCTCCACTGTAGCCTTAAATCCCTGATTGTGTGCAATGCTGCTAATCTCGCGTTGCTTAAGATTGATGACCCGGATAAAGCAGTGCTAAAGAATGTTTCGGGGCTCGTCCATCTTGGATTTTTCGGTTGTCCTTATGGTGTTAAGGATGTTTTTCAGAAGCGGTTTTCATGCTGCTTTTCAAAACTGAAGGTTCTTTCCTTATTTTTGGCTCCTCGTAGAGCTCAAGAGTTTGAAGAAAGCCTTCCTCAGCTGCCTTCACTGAAGCAATTGTCTGTAATACTTGGTCTATGGTACGAGGAGAGCATGCCTGAACTTACTTTCTTCTTTGAGGCAGCTCCAAACCTCGTAAAGTTTGTAATAAAGTTGGATTACCCCTTCAAAAAAATGACTGGGAGCACCATTGAACAGCAGTCAGAGAATAGTGTTGTTGTAAATCGCGGCGCCGTCCAACATCTTAAAGTAGTTGAGATACATGGGTATCGCGGCCGTATTGAACTCGGCCTTGCCAAGTACTTTCTCAAAAAAGCAGTTTCTCTCGAGAAATTTATTGTTGATCCGCGTTATCAATACACGATTCGTGAAGGAGAACCTTGGTATGAAGGGATAAATGTACGTGGTCGACAAGAAGCGATAGCAGATGATGGGAGACGGTGTGCTAAGGATCAACTCTCGGGATTGATACCTTCACATGTAACCTTACAGATTCTCTAGCCTGGCACAAATGCATGCTCTTCTGCTGATAGAAGGAACCAATATTGGAATTATGTGAGCTTTGAATGTTATTCTAAGTTATTCAACTTGAGGAGTTAAGGCGTGTATCAAATTGGATTATGTTGAATTACTTCATATGTATTAGTTTATGTATAACTCCTTTTTTTTATTTATTTATTTATTAATGATTTTTGTATTGATTGAGCCTTGAGGCAGTATACTTTACTTTGGTCTTTATGCCAAGGATATATATATATTTTTTTATATTCCTAATGCCTTTTAGATTTTAGAGGGAAGAAGATTGATAAATCTTTTAGCTTTGGACAAGTCCACCAAGTTTCAAGAGGGCATCCTTTGCGTTGATTTGGTTTGATTCTCCCTTGTGTCAGAAATTGAGATGTAAAACTATCATCTGCGTCGCTGAAAGCAGCTTATTACTCGGGGGTAAAATGTAGTTCGCCCAATATTGAAAGTCCAAGAAACTGCTAGCATAATACATGACTTTACAGATCCAAAATTTCTTGTGCTTCAATTGTTAGATTCCATAAACTAGTTATTCGAGTTATTCTGAACAGATTCTGGATTCCCCTGAATCATCAAACCAGAATTTCAAGTCACAAATTCACTATCTAATGAAAACATCTCCCAAATAAGGTTAACTAAAAGTACCTTAGCAGTCACAGGTCCCAGCTCAGATACATCTTCGGCACCATTGGTGGTCAATAGGTGATATTCTAACCCTAGGCCCAATAAACTTAGGGTTCAATCTGGACTCGTACATTACGAATCATCTAACCATGGAGGTCTACTTTATCCCTCAGAATTAAGAAGCAAAGTGAGTTCCCGACATAATGTATAACGCATGAAAATTTTGTAGGTGTGAGCCTCAGTCCCAAAAACAGAAGCTGGACACACACACAGTGGAATGGAATCAAATATGCAGTATGCCTGACATCTTTTGCACTAGAAAAAGTCCTTGATAAATTTGCTTCTAAATTGTGGATACAGATACGACTCCTGTAATGATTTCGATAAAGTTGCTCACTTTCTGTAGGATTGAATTGGGAATTATGATGAGCGGTACCATCGTTTTCTTTCCCCTTTGGCCTTGTTTCTTACAGTTCTCCTTCTGTTGCAGTCAAAGCATGATGGATCGGATGTACAAGCTGATCTCAATGTAGAACATACATGAAACTGAAATGATTCCTGGCATGACAAGGTCACCTCGAGTGAATTGCATCACCTTTTATGAAGATGTTCAAAGTCATCGGGGAAGTGATTTAAAGTACGTATTAAAACACTAGATTTATTTTTTGACATCTTGCTCAATCGCTTGTTTGGCAAATTGTGTTTTCCTTAGCTTAGTATTTGAATCTGTCTGCTGTAGCAGAATGTGTCTTCCTTGGCAGATTGTACAATTGCTTCAAGATTTAAGTCGTTCCCGTGTCAGCATTTTTGTGTGGATCGGTGTTCTATTCATGGTCTACTAAGATTCCTAGCTAAAAACCAACCAGACTAACAAAATTTCTTGTAGCAAAAATGTGTTGACATGATATAATGTTCTCTCTGTGCTTCCTTTTCTATCTATAAGGCATGCATAAACTTCCCATTTCCAGTATACACGTGTCACCTTTCGGCACAAACAGATTCAAAGCATGCGCAAATGCATACACACCAAGCTTGCATGTTGGCGCATGAGCCAAGCTAGGGCTGGCAATCCGTGTCGTGTTAGGGTTGGCGTGTCGGGTCGGACCCGAACCCGAATAATATACAGCCAACCCTAACCCGACCTGTATAAATAAACAGGTCACGTTTTGCAACCCTAACCTGACCTGAAAATATTCAGGTCACCCGTGACCCGACACGGCAACCCGAAATTTAAAAAAATAAAATAAAAAATTTCAAAAAAAAACTAAAATTTAAAACTTTCATTTTCATATAACAGATTCACAGTTTCACACTGTGATCACACAAATCTGGAAATATAAAATTCTAGTCATTTTCATAGCACACAATCTAAAATCTGAAAAATTCAAGTCCAAATCACACAAATTACAAAGTACCAGCATTCAAATTACAACATTAAATCCAAATTACAACCTTCAAAGTTATCAAGAAAGGAAGATTAAGATGACATTTGAAATTTGGCATGACCAAGTTGATACTCAGTAGGAAGTTGGTACTCAGTTGAAACTCTTGTGTCTTGAGGGAAAGCTCAGCTCCAAGAAACAGCCAGGAGTAGAGGCAGCAGCACATCCTACAAGCAAAAAAAATAAACCTGTGAACTCAAAGCATAACATTCAGAGCAGATTTCAGAGCAGGAAACATTCTGATTTCAGAGCAGATTTTAAAGCATATTCAGAATAGATTTCAGCAGAACATCCAGATTCAGAACATTCACAAACTTACCAAATATATTATCAAGTTGTATTAGAACTTCCCCCTTCAATCAATGGAACACCACCACCATTGTTGATATTCAAGTTCATTATGTCTCTAGTCAACTCTTCCAAGTTTAATTTATCTAATTCTATTTAGAGGGAAAAACATATGCAATAAATATTTTAAATTTACAAATGAGATTAACTGATTAATAAACCAAAATCCAAACAGCAAACACTTCACCTTTGTGTCCAAATAACCAATCTCGAGAGCAAATCAATGCTTCGACAATATCTGGAGTCATTTAGCTACGATATTGATCTAGAATTCTTCCTCCAAGGCTAAAAGCGGACTCGGATGCAACGGTTGATACGGGAACACAAAGTATGTCCCTAGCAAGCCTAGCAAGATCAGGATACCGATATTGTTGGGATTTCCAAAAATCAAGTACATTGATTTTATCGGTCCTGTTATGCTTTGGGTCAGCTAAATACATCTCTAGCTGAGTTTGTTTGCCACTTGAATCAAACTCAGCACTCAAATTCATCAAATTCCTGTAAACAGTAAACAGTGAGTAGTTATCAGAATAAATCAGAAATAAAATAAAAAACAGATTATGACATTAGAATGGAAAAACATATAAATAAATAATACACATACTTACCATCATTAAAGTTGAAGTATGACTCCCTTCAGTTTCTCCTCGATGCTCATTGTTACTACCAGAAGAACAAGATGATGATGCCTACATCCAATTGTCACAGCTGGTTAGTAAGACATATAATAGGACACCTGACCCAAACTGAAATTAAACCCATCCCCCAAAAAAGAAGAAGAAAATGACCTGACCTGATTAGATGGTGAAGCTAGCAAGTACTCATCATAAAGAGCAAAGAGGGCAACCTTAAAATCAGCCAACTATTGCGAAGATGGGCCATAAAGCTTCCCGTAACAGAATTCTACGGATCAAAACTTGTACAGAGGATCAAACACCGCCGCAAGTGACAATAAGAGATTAAAATTAGACCAATATTTGTCAAACTTATCAACCATATTCTTAGCAATTCTTTCCAGGTATGAATCACTACTTGAGATTGCCTCTTGCAACTTTTGCTAAATTGGAAATACCTTTGGAAGATACATATTTGCTGTGGAATAAAGAGTTCCAGAGAAGGTATTTGTAGCATCATAAAAAGATTCAAGAAATCCACATATCTTTTCAACCCTTTCCCATTCATCCGAAGTAGGACAACACTTAAAATTCATATCAGCCCACTGAAGATGCTCAAAAGCCCTACTATAGTAGAGAGCACTTGAAAGCATCTTATAGGTCGAATTCCACCTAGTAGGCACGTCTTGCTTTAAACCTCTCTTAGAATCCAAAGAGGTTTGTGCAATAGACAGCTCAAACTTTTGCTTTCTAGAACTTGAACCCTTAACAAATTTGACACATTCCCTTATTTTGATCACAGACTCATCAATTTCTTTCAAGCCATCTTGAACTACCAAATTAAGTATATGGGCTGAGCATCTTACATGAAACAGTTCACCTTTATACACCAAAGCATTATTAAGCATCAATTGTTTTTTCAGAATATCAACACAAGCATCATTAGCCGATGCATTGTCCAAAGTAATTGAAAACAACTTTTTTTCAATACCCCAACTACAAACCAAAGAATAGATCTTTTCACTCAATGCTTGTCCCGTATGTGGAGGTGGCATGCAAGAAAAATTCAGTATTCTCTTTTGCAATTTCCAATTAGCATCAATAAAGTGAGCAGTTAAACTCAAATAACCATCAGTAACAATGGAAGTCCAAGCATCCGATGTCAAGGCTATTTTACTAGGACAAACAAGTAATTCAGCACGAAGTCTACCACATTCTTTGGCATACATCTTCCTAATATCAGCTTTTGCAGTATTTCGAGTAAATTCAACAGCTTTTGGCTCTAGATACTTAAAAATATTCCAAATTCCTTCATACTCTACAAAAGAAAAGGGCATGTCATGTCTAATCATTGCATGAACAACTAGTTCTCTAAACTTTTCTTGAGAAAAATGTGGATTCCTAGTTCCTAAACAGGTAGCATCCTTATCCGAGACAATCAGAAACTGCCCAATATCAGTGGTAGTCATCTTCACACAACTTTTAATATGGCGAATTAAATTACCTGTGCCATTCTCACTTCCAGCCAAGTATTTCTTACCACATTTTTTACATTCACAGTGAAGCTTTTCATTTGGTTTCTAGGGCAAAATTTGAAAATGATTCCAAACTGAAGATGTTAACCTTCTTTTCTTTCGCCCTCCTTTGTTTGCAGGAGCTGCTTCATCACCTTCTTGTGTGCCAGTTGTGTCAGTTCCACCATTGATTGAAACCTCAACATCATCAGCAGCATCGGTCTCACTGCCGTTAACCTCAAAACCGATATCAAATTCAGCTTCTTCGTCAATTGGTTCTATTCCTAAAAAACCAGAGACAAACAGACAAAAGATTTCAGTAAACAGTAATCGACCCAACAAAGCAAATCAACTAAAGATTAACTAAATCAACTAAAGATTAACATGCAAGGCTAAACTAAATCAGTAAATGATATTTCTATCCCTTGAAAGTTAAAAGCTTCAAACCGGGTTCACTATACCAACTACAAATCCGAGCCATAGTTAAGCTTTCTTTCTTTTCTTGAAATTTACAAATAAAACTCCAACCGATAGAAGAAAGAGGAGAACAAGAAGAAGAAGAAGGAGGAGGGTGAGACATAAGTACATAACTGAATAGGTGACCGCCGTGAAGTGATGATTGATGACCGAGGAACACCAATTTGTGAAGAACCGTAACTGGGGTAGACGGCGAGAGAGGTTTCAAAGGCGTATAAATGACGGAGATCGGGAAAATAGACTCTGCAAAGTGGAGGGGAATAAGAGCCGCCGTCGCCGAGAAGAAGAGGGCGGAAATCCTAAAGGGTGAAAAATTTGTGCCGAAATGAAGAATAAGAGTATATATATGAGCTGACATTAGGGTTGGGGATGGCTGCGAAATTCCCAAAGTACCTCTATAATACACATAATTTACATGTTCGCGGGTAACCCGGCGGGTTGACCCTAACCCGACCCGTATATTAAACGGGTCCAAATTTTCAACCCTAACCCGACCTATTTAATATGCGTGTCGTGTTTGTGTCGGGTTCGTGTCGAAATTCCGAGTCGTGTCAGAGATTGCCGGCCCTAAGCCAAGCTGACATGAGCAATTGCAATGAATTCTCTAATATGTACTAATAGCTGTTCTAAGTAGAAATGAACAGGTAGGGCACAATTTACTTTGCTTACAAGTTCCAGGAGTTCAACGCCCTTCAACTGAGGAGATAACATGAACAGGTACCGCAAAATAGACAAAGCCGCTTTACTTCAATTCCAAATAGTAGTCAAACTCGAAGTGGCACCGTCACTCATCATCTTTAACCTGAACCACCAAAGGGGGGGAGGGGGGAGATGGGAGGTGGGAGGGGAAGCAGTAAAGTCAGAACAATAATCCATCAAGTTACATGAATGCATTAAATAGATCAATTTAACTAGGTACCAACCAAAAGTTTAGCGGGAAAAGTTCCCTTTCCAAGTGCACTGCATGGCATGTTCTCTTCCAATATAAATGCTTCTACTTGAGGAGCATACACACCAAGCACCCCCTTAGTCACAACTGAAATGTATTATGAAATGCTTTAGATATAAGAAAAATAAACCAGTAGAAAGCAAACTGAATCAGATTTATACCATACTTCGAAGCTAGAATGAATTGAAAGCCATGGCTACATACAACTTCTTTACCTAAGTTCCAATATCAAAACCCTGCTTCTCATGCAGTTCTCAAGAAGTTTGACTGCTGATACAGACACAGCTGACAGATAGGATCTGCTCCCTTCTTATATTGTCTTTTCGAGTTTTAGTGTCTCTCAACATGCAAGTGAGTTCTTTTTCACCCATTAATTGTTTACAGTACAAACGTCCTTGATCAAAACTAGAGAGAAAAAAACTCCTCAGTTTCCCGAAATGTATTCCAAAATTAAATAACTCTTGTTTCCTGATTCATGGCTAAAACCCAAAATTACTATCTGAATTGAGCAAACTGGCAAGACCAAGTTTGTTACTGAACTTGGTAGGCAACCTAAAGTACTAAATCCTAAATAATCTTTGAGCATTCATAGTTCTTTTATTGTATGTGCTCTAAGATTCCCAGTAGACTCAGTCACAATCACAAGGAAGTTCACAATGGTTATTCGGAGGACAAGGAAAAGGGGAAAAGTAAAACAGTTCGTAATTGAAAATCTTACAATCCAGATGTAATGACATTGTTTTGAAGGAGATTTTACCATATGGATGTGATTTTCAATCATTCAGACATTTTTAAATATTAAGTGACACTTTAGCAATTTAAAACATGCCAAGACCAAAGACCATGAAATTCATATTAAAGCGCGACAAACGTAACATACCAAGCCAGAACATAAAATCAGCCTCACTCAAAAAAATGCAAACAACATCAAAACACACAGTTTTACCCATGCCTGATTCTCATCACTCAATTTCAACCTTTTGGTTTCATAATGTATACTTAACATCTCAACAATGAAATTAAAGTGCTAACTCCAGCTTCTGAAATCAAACATGTATTATCATTTAGATAAGTGATTAACTATTTGGCCACCAATTCTTCACCAGTGTAATTTTGTTTCCTTAACATGCAACAAACTTTTTCTACATCAAAATCTCCTTATAGCAGAAGGATCAAAATTTAATGTTCTTCAACAATCAAATCCCATAAGACAATACATTCGCAGTCTAACTTTAGCAGTGGAATAAAAGAAGAAAAACAGTAAGTAATCAACAGAAGTAATCATCATAATATCTAACATCATGATAGATCACCAAACCATTCTCAACAATATTCCATACCATGTGGCACATATCATATTGTTCTATTGATGCACCACTTTGACATTATAACTAAAATGTCTCAGCTATACAAAGTTGCTAAGAAAAATTTCTCCTAAGAATGAGCATTGTGTTCATGGTAGATGCAAAATATCACCAATTATGTCATTCAGACAAGAACATTAAAAGATTCAGGAGCTGATTAAAAGTTTTGCTCTAATAGGGGAATCTTAGTATTATTCATAGTGAGCTTTCCTAAGACAGATAGTAGAAAGAGTAAATACTGTCAAGGTGCTAACCTTTTACTCCACCAATCAAAAAGGTATTTGTATAGTTGAGGTCGAAGACAAGATTATGGCGAACATAGAATTTGAACTTCAAAATACAGGGGGACCCTTCAGTTAGACTAAAACACGGATTTTCTCCAGCAACAGGTGTTAAAACGTTCTTCACCACACCACCCGCAGATACAAGTCCAACGGAGTAAAACTTTACAAGAGGCGTCATCTGTCCTGATAGCAAGAAATCATCAAAACATAAATGAAATGGTTTGAAAGCTTATGCTATGTATGATGTTGAAAGTTGTAATCAACCAACCTAAGAAACTTCGGCCAATACTTTGAAGAAGCCTTTCATTCCACTTTCCGTAAGACTGCAACATACCGAAAGCAAAAGCACAATTAGCACCTCAATCACAGTGCAGAATTTTATAGTTACACTTCATAAACAAGAGAATTTCATACATAAATTTCAGTCCTGTTACTACAACATTCACTTTTGCGGCCATGCATATAATGCAGCAACATAAACCTTCTCAAAGGGCAATCAAAAAGAGGACCAAGGGAAAAAGAACTACAAGCAGTGAAAAAGAAAACAAAAAAGTAGGCAGAGAACACATGCGCATCCCAAATAAATATAACACATGAAGACTACATGCACACAAGGGTTAAGGGCTCTGGCCTTGAGAGTAAAACACAACAATGACCAAGGGAATATATTATGCATTTAGAGAATGCTCTTTTCAATTTTCATTATAAAACAGTACGAGAAAGCAGGTTGGATCCAAGTTGTAGTTAAGATTTCAAAGACTCTCTCAATTTCTAGACTATGAAATAAATACTACTAATGTCTACTAATGTAAGAGCACCATGCAAATTGATCATCTCTGACACACTGGCGAGCTCTTTCCTTGATGTGTTTGATACGCAATTCAAGCTCAATTCAGATCGAGAGGAAAGCAAGGCATACTGCCCTTCCACAATTTGCCAAATTCACTCCAGTAATTTCAACAGAGCCAAGTAATACTTTGCCTTGCTTTAGATCCCGACCATGTTTTGATTGATTTTAATTCCGGGCGTATCAATGCTAAGCTCCTATATCATGTAACACAGTCCAAAAATGAAACAAGGGTTGAACAGGGCTGCTCCTTTATCTTATTTCTGGAGTGAAGGGGGTAAAATCTCTCAAAGTAGTGACGATAACATCATACTATACTGAAACTCCTTCCACTAAAACAAATATGAAGGCATTACAGAGCTACAACCAGATAACATGATGTCAACAAGCAACCTGGAAGACAAGAAGAACAGCTAAAATCCCGATTCCATTAAGAAAACAACCAACGAAAGAAAGATCCAGGACAAAGCCCACAATCTAAAAAATGGACAAATAAATTAAGACAAAATACGCAGATTTCAGACAAGCAGCAACAAGAAACACTCAAAAGCGAGACCCAAAAAATTAAGTAAGAGGAAGAGGAAACAAAGAAACCTCGTCTTTTTCAATGGCGGATCCCGTGGGAGCCGTCGGTCCAGAAGTGTATCTGTAACACAGCAGTGCATAGATCAATAATTCCACCAAAATAAATCATAAAACTAAACAAATTAAAACCACTACTTACTCAATTGCAAGTTTAATCGTCCTTCCTGTTGGAGTTTGACGAGGAATGTGGTCAGTACTTGTAAAGACTCTGATCTTCGGGTCCCAACCATCCAGAGAGTCCATTAATTGGGCAATCGCCGCCACTTCCTCTCCATGGGTAAGAATTAACTCGTTAAGGCTTCTGAGAGTAGCAACAAGATTGTCCACTTCAACAGCTCTTGGAATGTATCTGTAGATATGCTAGCAGCTATTCCTCAAATCTTTTCCAAGTTTATAGATCTCCTCAAGTTCTTCGAGTAAATGCTTAGTCTCAGTTTTCCATATGTCAAGCCCCTTGTCGTATTTTGTTTTTGCGTAAAGCTGAATTGCCATTTTTCTTCTACGCTCCAGACCTTCAAGTTCTTGGGCAAAAGATTCTATCGCTTCCATAGGAATCCACCTCTTACGGCTAAGCAAAATATACTCCCTGGTCTCCTTAAGACCAGGAATTGCACTAATATCTGCGAGGTAATCTGCCAATAGAGATACCAGACCAGACGAAGGAAAGCTAGGTCAACACGCAGTAAACGTGAAAATTTCCTCTCGACATGTAAAAATGACGCTGATTATTAGGAATTTTTTCTTTAAATATATTTCCTTATATATACTAGAATAAAAATAAACCTTCCAAAAATTGTGGACAAACTTATATGTCCTGGATTTTGAAAATCCGAATGGGGGTAAACTCGGATTTCCGAAATCCGAACCCCTCTAAACTCGCATGAGAGAAATCTGAATTTGTGTTATATAAATCCGATATTAAGTTAATGACAGAAATTAGTGTAATTAATCTAAATCCGGATTTTCCAAATACAAATAAAATATTAATTTTCGGATAGAAAACAAATTATGTGTTGAAAAATTAAATTTGGGAAAATCCGAATCACGGTAATCCGAATGAATATCGATTCGGATTACCGTAATCCGAATCTCCTCTGTTTTCTGCAAAATGCTAATTCCCAGTTGGCTACATATTCGGATTTGTGAAATTCGAATCCTTTACAAAAACTCTGGGTTCGGATTTCGTAAATCCGAGTCTATGTCGGAACTGAAAAAAAAATTGGACTGGCTTTAACGAGTCCAAAACCTGTTTAAAGCACCGATAACAATGAAACATTGGAAAACAGAAATTTAATGGCAACAAAACAATAAACAACACTTGATTAACAACAAAACAAATCAAATTTTAAACCAAAATCAATACAAAAACTACTTTAAATGTGCAAAATACATCAAAGGTCTCATTTTTTCTCTTTTCCTTTATTATGCGCAGGAGGAGTGTATTTATTTGGGTGCTGCCGAATCCTGTCTCCTTCTTAAGATACGTGAGTATTGAACTCTGTTGTGGTTGTGACTGTCCCCCAAACTGAGGCTCGGGTTGGGGTTGGGATTGGGACTCCCACATGATGAGAAATTTGACTCCTGGTTGTGGTTGCGACTGTCCACCAAACTGAGTCTCAGGTCCACCAAGGTCAAACTGAGTCTCGGGTCCACCAATGTCTTCAAATTGAGTCTCGACCTGTATGCGCGAGCCTCGAGAAGAATGTCCTTGATCCTCATTTTGTTGACACTCAGTTTGTTGTTGCGATGTCCGAGGGGGGATTGATACCTTTCTCTTTCTTCCTTCTCCAATCTTATCTTTCGACCACGGTTTTGCTTTTTTACCTGGCGGAGGTTGTGAGGGCAAAGATGGTTCTTCATCAACCAGGATTTGGGTATCCTCTACGTCCATCTCATCATTTGCACCCAGGGTTAAAGCAGCATGTGTTTGATTGATGATATCGTCCAAATGCTTGTCGAGTTCTTCGTCTAGGAGATTCTCTTCTTCTCATTTTTCTCTAAACTTCTCGGAACTCACGCGAATGTTGTGCAATACTTCACCCTGAAAAGAAATTGGGACGTTAATTAAAAGAGTAAGATTTAAAAAAAAAACATTAAAAAAATAAAAGGAAAACATAAGAAATAAAAAAAAAATATAGAATGAACTCACATATAATTTTACTCGGCTCGAAGAAGTCTCGTATCCTTGAGGTTCATAATTTTTGGGATTGGATATCAGCCTGACAGTGTTCACCGTGAACCATTCATAGTACCCCTCATATACGGAGCCAAGGTCTCCTTCCTCCAAATCTCGTAGCACGTATTTTTCTCTCCTATTCCAATGACGACATACTGCGGAATGGTGATCCACCCAATTGTTTCTAGGATACCCAGACATACTGTGGGCGTGATTGAAAAGAAATGATGCGTTATCTTTAATCATAGCGCGCTTAGGAACATCCTGTATGTATCTAAATTGTCTCACAACTCTGCCCGACTCGTGGGGTTCCCTAATAGCCCAACAGAACATCCAACACCTGGTCGTCCAAATGGCTTGACCTTGTTTACAGAATTCAGGGAGTCTATGAAGGACCTTTGCATATGGTTGCCACCGAAACTGCGTGAAAAAAGAATTTATTTAGATGGTATAACCGGAACGAAAAGAAATTCAAAGTAAATATAAATACCAAATTAAGTACTTACATCTTCAACACGCAGGCTTGTTAATTGATCTCTAAAAGGTGGGGTGCTGCTCCTTGGGGCGTCTCCGTAAGTGTACCTACATTCCCACCTTAATGAAAAAACACGAAGGGGCACATTTGAATTAGTAAAAAAGATGAATAAGAAACAAATGGAAATAAAATTGAGTTATTTTGAACTGAAAATACGTACTGCTGAGCTAATTGAGCGGTCTCATCAATCAAATAATCTACTCCTTTTCTTTGTGGCGCGATTCTCTCGATTCGCTCATACGCCCATACCTAGTAAATTTCAATAATAAAAATAAAACTTCAAATTATAACCTCGAAATCAAAAAACAATTATAACACCAATTGAAAACTAATACGTACCTGTAGCAAATATAGACAGCCAGTGGCGTCGTGAACGGTGTACTGTGATGCCTCGTTCAGTCAGTACAAACCAGTCAGTAGTGCCGATCCCCAATTGTATCGACTACACTGATCCAAATCCTCAACCTGGGCCAAGAACTGAAGATTGACAGTATTTTGCGTCTTGTTAGGAAACATGAAACTGCTAATAAAATGCAGTATAAGTGTCCGGACCCTTTGCACGAATCGTTGGACTGTGGAATTCTCAGGGAGTGCACGGCGCATCTCATCCTCGAAAATACAAACATTGACACATTGGTCATTTACTTGGGCTGGCTGGAATCCCAAATAAGTCTCACATTGATCCCGCCATTCATCTACACTCCGGCTAATTGTCGTCACGTACACCGGGTCACCATCCACCCAAATACCAAAGAGGACCTCGACATCCTGTAGTGTCACAGTCGCCTCTCCGAAATTGAAATGGAAAGTGTGGATTTCTGGCCTCCACCATTCCACCAACGCGGTAATGAGACCAAGATCCACTTTTTTGTAGCCTACTTTCATTATCCCCTCAAAACCGGCTCTCTTAATGACTTCCTTAACCTCCGGTGCCGTATTTTTTTATATCCCCCAAAAATCACTGTCGTATCTACGGCCCTTGAGGCGGAATGTTTTAATGTCCGGTATCTTATTCTCATAGACAGCTTGGGACCT